GGGGCTCTCTGCTCAGCAGGGAGCCTGCTTCCCCTTCTCTCTCTGCCTGCCTCTCTGCCTGCTTGTGATCTCTGTCTGTCAAATAAATAAATAAAATCTAAAAAAAAAAAAAAAAAAGAATTGAAAGTGGAGTTTTAGATTTGTTGATCAGAGTACTGATCTTAACTTCTTAAATTTGAAAAAAAGGATCTGTAGTTTGAGAAACCTGTGTACATTTCTTTCTATGAACAAAATGATCTAGAAGACAGGTCTTGATTGACTCCTAATTTTAAAATGAATAAATGGATATTATTCATAGGATAAATTCTATCTTGTTGGAGTCCAGGTGTTTATTATTGTTTATTTTAAAATGTTTCAAAGTCGTATGACAAGTTGAAAATGTTTACAGGCAAATCGGAAACTAACATCAACATAAATGAACCAGCTGTGTGATCTTCCACTCCAGAATCGGTATTTGCCCAGTGAAATCAACTGCTTCTGCAGTGTGGGTGGAGAGATCACATCAGGGGAGAAACTTGTTTTGCAGACTTTAGTTCTCACTCACCGTCCTGGGTTTGATTTTACCTCACAGCCCACAAAACTCCTAGTGTTCTTAGCAGGGTCGGTGATCGCTAACCACATTTTCGATTTTTTTTTTTTTTTTTTGCTTTGTTTCTGTTGATTAGTATGCAATGGACTGAATTAAGGAAAAAGGAAAACATAACCTCGTTCATAAATATGGAGAGACAAAACATTGAAAACACCATTTTTCACGTGTTTCCATTTACCCGAACAGAGTTCTGCAGCCCAAGGAGACAAAGCAGCTGTCGTGGGTTGGGCTAGGGATAAGCCCGAGATTTCACTTTAGAAAACTGAAAGTCACTTAAAAGCTTCAGATCAGATTAAGTAGTTCAGAGTTCACAAATTTTCCACACCATCCTAAACTAATTTGCATTGTAGTTCTTACTTACAGTACAGACAGTGCTATTAGTACTTATAGTTAGTTTACTAATTTCTTAAGAAGGTATTTCTTTTTGCATTAATAAAACAAAAAATTGATATTAAGCATATAGCATAGTACCTGGTATATATTAAGTACTCAGCAGGGACGCCTGGGTGGCTCAGTCAGTTAAATGTCTGCCTTTGGCTCAGGTCATGTCCCAGAGTCCTGGGATCAAGTCCCACATCAGGCTCCCTGCTCAGCGGGGAGCCTGCTTCTTCTTCTGCCCTGCCACTCTCCCTGCCAGGGCTCTCACGACAAACAAATAAAAAAAGTGCTCAACAAATGTCAGTCTCTTTGCATCATGGGTAATAACGAAGTTAGGTAAGAATTTTAATATTTCCAGAGTTGGATAGCCTTGGTAATTGATCTTTCCTGCCATTATCGAGCACCCTATTAGTCCATGGCAGTGACCTAAGGATTCAACCTTGTGAGGAAAGAGTAATTATTGCTAGGATTTTCGTGAAATAGCAAAGAGTAAGATAATGAAGGCACTACTAATTTACTACATCTTTTGGATGAATTACTGTAATTGTAACTGTTCTTTTAAACCTCTCAAGACTGTCCAGTTCTTATGCCATCAAATTGTTGAGGTGGGGCACCTGAATGACTCAGTGGGTTAAGCGTCTGCCTTCAGCTCAGGTCATGAGGATGGAGTCCTGGGATGGAGCCCCGAGTAGGGCTTCCTGCTCAGCAAGGAGTCTGCTTCTCTCTCTCCCTATGCCCCTCTCACCACCTCATGGTTGTGCTATCTTTCTCTCTCTCAAGTAAGTAAATAAAATGCTAAAAAATTGTTTTAGAAACTGTTTAATAATTGTTTATTAATTATTAAGTATTACATTTATTTGATATTGATTAAAATTCTTAATAAGAAAATATTGTTCTTTGCATAGAAGGAGCCTTTTTTTAAATTTTGAAAACATTATGTTCATTTTCTAGAATAGGAGTTGGTAAATAAAAGCTGTTCATTCCCTTTCAGTGATTGAAATCAGAAAAAAGTAATTATAAAGACAGACTAACTACCCTAAAAAAAAGTGAGTTAGAATCTTCTTGAAGCAAAATTAACATGCATTGGGCACTTAAATTTTTCAGAGGTACATTTTTAATACTATCAAGTATGCAGAAGTCAGCCATCTTAAAAGATTGTTGTAGTCTTCCTATCTTCCTGAATGCCACTTATAATATTCTGATCACAATCTCATCAACACATTGTTTTACTTCGTACTTTATATGCCTTTTTATTTCCATGTACATAGAAAAGCGCAGGTGGGTTAGGTGTAAAACTCCATGGATTTTCTCAAACTGACCCTTCCTATTCTAGTGCCCAAGCCAACTCTGAATAATGGTGGCACCCAGAAGGTCACTTTCCTCCTTGTTCCAATTCCCTTCCCAGACCTTCTCCCTAAATGCCTCTTTGTGAGCCAAAAATGGATGAGATTGCACTGATTTTCAGCATGAACACATCCATATGAAGTACCGTTAAATTTTAACAAAATCTATCTTAACATTAAAGTCCACTCAAGTTATCTTTCACCTTCCTGTCTTCTCTTTCCCTATACCCCACTTTATCAAGTAAGAGGTCAAAAAATATTTAAGTTCTGTCCTCAAAGCACTGTGCCATCTTCCTCTTCTGTATAAGGAAAGCTAGGATATTGATTCTTCACTGCTACTGCTTAGCTGTTTCAGTGGAGTCATGTTTTTGCCCAGACAAGTACAGTTAAATGTTAAGATTGCCAGTATTTGGTAACACAATTGAATTGAAATTGAATTCAAACGTAAGCCAGGAAGTCAATATTGTCACTTCAAAAATCCATGGGAGGGATGCCTGGGTGGCTTAGTGGTTAAAGCCTCTGCCTTCGGCTCTGGTCATGATCCCAGGGTCCTGGGATCGAGTCCCGCATCGGGCTCTCTGCTCAGCGGGGAGCCTGCCTCCTCCTCCTGTCTCTCTCTGCCTGCCTCTCTGCCTACTTGTGATCTGTCAAATAAATTAAAAAAAAAAAATCCATGGGAAAGCTAAAAAGTGGAGGGAAATGGAGCGTTTCATTGTTCTATGCACAGTTTCCTTTATTCTAGATTGCTCATTATTGTCCTCAGATTTTGAAGATGACATGATTATAACATCTGATGTCTCCCGATATATTGAAGACCCTGGTTTTGGGTATGAGGACTTTGCCAGACGAGGAGAAGAACATTTGCCAACATTCCGAGCTCAGGTATAAGATGCCTTTAACTCAGAGAAACTAGAGAAGAAATATTGTCGTTTTAACTGTGAAATGTTGAGATATAAGTCCATTGCCTTCTAAATTGATAGAGTCTGTAGATCTTTTTATGTAATCTCGTTTTTGGCCCAGTCTAATTTGATCTCCTAGTAGATAAATTATTATTTCAATGTTTCCCCCTCTAAGAAGGCAAAAGGAAATGGTTTCATTTGGTTACTTGCAACATTACATGGTAATTGTATAATGTTCATACCCTTTTTTTTCTTAAGGAGCAGGGAGAAAATCAAGCGATAAAGTTACATTTATAATAAAATGGCATTTTGTAGTAAGATCATATACCAGTAGTTCTGGGATTAAGGGTTACCCCACCAAAACCCCTAGAGGCCAGAGTCACAGTAGCGATGTGGCTCCCAAAGAGAGTGAAAGTTTGAATTAAGACAGACTCCTTTGCACTTGTTTCACTAATCTGCTAATTGTCCGTGTCACTGAGTAGGTTTGGTCACACGGGAATTTTCTCAGATTTCCTGGGGCTCTTCCAGATAAGGATGTAGTTTGCATAGTACCCGACCACAGGGGGAGGCCAGAGTTCATCACCAATATGTCCAACCAGGGACCCCACTGAGGAAACCGCATGGCGCTCTGATCTAGGAACCGATGTGAAGGGTTCTTAGTAAGGCTGTCAACTTAGAATACATTTGAAATATCTTCACTTCCTTGCTTCAGTAGTTGTTTCCCACAAACATGGAATTTAAATGGAGACTGCCCATTTGGTAACTAGATAGAGTTTCTTCTTTCAGGACTATACCTGGGAAAATCACGGGTTCTCCCTGGTGAACAGACTTTATTCTGACATTGGACATCTTCTTGATGAGAAGTTCCGCATGGTCTACAATCTCACCTATAACACTATGGCCTCCCATGAGGATGTTGACACAACCACGCTGCGCAGAGCTTTATTTAACTACGTTCACTGTATGTTTGGAATCAGGTACGTTCGTCGTCGAGACCATTTTAAACATTTCTAAGTGACAGTTCTGACCCAAGTTTTGCTCCTGTCCTTTTTAGTGCTATAGAGCCCTGGGGAGAAAAATACTACAAGTGGACTTCTGATTTTGAAAAATGACTTCCAGTTTATAGAAGAACATTTTTCCTTGTTTGACTGTTTGGAATCTTAGCATGCACCTGTAAATACAGTAATGAGAATTTACTAAGGAGGGGGAAAAAAGTTTCAGTAATCGTTGGGGGATACAATAGAATCAGACTCAATTTAAGTATCCTTCCTGGAAGAATTAGGCAGTTAAGGAACGTTTATTGTGCCTCTTTGGCCCACTGTAATAAATGCTGGTTTGTTTGTTTATTTTTAAAGGAATGGTAATTAGGGTATAAATAAAACTAGGATAGATTGTATCTTCATAAAGCTCACATAAGAACACTGAAATGAAACTATCAGTCAATATAAATTAATGGCCTCTAAATTTAGAAAATTGGCATGGAGAGGACAGTGAGTAAATGAGTGAGTGAGATTGAATGGTCTAATCAGGAAAGCTTTTTTGGGAGAATGTGCCTTTTTGAGCTGGGTTTTGAAGGCGTTTATGGAGATAGATTTGCAGAAAGAAAAAATGCCCAGTTATGAATACATTCAATTTGACTCTACTTTCTCCTTTCTAATATAGTCACAGAAAGCCTTTATGGCATGGAGTTAGAATTCAATTTGCTAAGCAAAGTATTTTCTAACATTTTAATGTAAAAAAATTTTCCTGAAACATCAGCTAATAGTCAAGCATTCTACCTAGAAGACACTGGCACGATGGTAGTTAACTATGCTGTTTGCTCATTTATCATTCCAGACAATAACTTAACACTGAATCATCACATTTTAAAACACATACGTCATAACTACCTACTTTAAGAAAAATAAATATTAGTAATTCAATTCAATTGTGATAAATTATGTTCAAGACAATACATGACAAATATTATGGTGATTATATTAACATGTTGGATGCTACCAAATAAAGCTCATATAAGATTTTTGAATACTTATTTTTTGACTAAGCATATGTTTGGGTTAAAAATTAACTGAAGGGGCGCCTGGGTGGCTCAGTGGGTTAAGCCTCTGCCTTTGGCTCAGGTCATGATCCCAAGGTCCTCGGATCAAGCCTCACATCGGGCTCTCTGCTCAGCGGGGAGCCTGCTTCCCTTCCTCTCTCTCTGCCTGCCTCTCTGCCTACTTGTGATCTCTGTGACCTGCGGGTAAATCTAAAAAGCAAAACCAGGAAACAGAAACAGACTGATATAGAGAACAAACTGATGGCTGTGGCGGGGAGAGGAAGGAGAGGGCTGAATGGGTAAAGGGGATTGAGAGGTCAAAGTTCCGGTTACAAAGTAAGTAAGTCGTGGAGATGCAGTGTCTCAGCCCAGGGACTCCAGTCAGTAAGATTGTAATGACTTTGTATGGTGACAGATGGTAACTACATTGGTGGGGAGCATTTTGTGGAGCATATTAATGCTGAATCACTGTGTCCTACACTTATCACTCATATCATATGGTATGTCAAGTATAAATAAAAATAAAAGATCCTTGTTCCCCGGGCCCCTGGGTGTCTCAGTCGGTTAAGCATCCAACTCTTGATCTCAGCTCTGGTCTTGATCTCAGGGTCGTGAGTTCAAGCCCCTACTTAAAAAAAAAAAAAATTCTTCCTTCTCTCTCTTGCAAAACCAACTTTACCCTCTTCACTGGATCTTTCCCATCAGTATATACACACTGCTGTGACTTCTCTCATCTTTAGAAAAAAATTCCTTTCTTCCTCCTTCTTTGCCTTCTAGCCTTTGCCTTGTCTTCCTGCTCCCACACACAGCCCATCTCTTTGACAAAGTGTTGTTTACTTGCTCGCTATTTTATCCCTCAGTCCGTCTTAAATGCACTACAGCACCACCGCACTACAACAAAACCCCTCTTGGGCAAGGTTGCCTGTGACCCTCCTCACGCCTGCTCCCAGGGCTCAGGGCCTAGTTCCTGTCACATTTGATTTGTCAGCAGCATGGGACACAGTGGGTCACTCCCTCTGCCCCCCATGATGACTCCCACCTCAGGGCTCTCTGCTGACACCTTCTCAGAGAACAGCCTCGCCCCCTCCCTAAAAAGCGCTGCTTTTCTTCTCACAGCCTCCTTTCCCTTTCCCTCCACAGCAGTGAACACCCCCCAACAGATCACATGCTTGTCTATGTTTTAACTTTCTTCTCCAATAGGATTGAAACTCCATGGGACTGGAGATCTTTGTTTATTCTGTTCATCTCTGTATCACTAGTGCCTAGAAAGCACCTAACAGGCACCGAGAAATATTTGTGACAACAATTAGTTAATGAGTTTTTGGTATTGAATTGCTAGACCATAAACATCTCTTGATACCAACATAGAAATCAGAAATTTTGAATTTTTCATTTGTCTTTGGCCTGTAGGTATGATGACTATGATTATGGAGAAGTTAATCAATTACTTGAACGAAGCCTGAAGGTTTACATTAAGACAGTGACCTGCTATCCGGAGAGAACCACCAAGCGCATGTACGATAGTTACTGGCGTCAGTTCAAGCACTCAGAAAAGGTGTGTTTCATGACTTGACGTTATAGACACCTTAGGCTTGTGTCTGGTATAATTAGTAACGATCAGCAAACATTATACAGGAAAATATTGATAAGTTAGTGCCATTAAAGAAAAGAAGTGACATCATTCAGCTGTCTTTTCAAAATGTGTTTAAATTCCGGTTTATTGAATATTAACTAAATTTTGGTTCTGTGTTTCGGCCAACATGGTGGGTACAGCACACTTGTAGCATCAGCCTTTGAAAGGCTGGGTCCAGATACTGATTTTTAAAGTACCTTTAGGAAAATGTCTACCATTCTCATGATTCATAAAAATCAAACCTAATGATTGGGCCAGGCCCAGAAGGTATGTCGGATTAGAGATTAACTCTAGCCACTAGAGTTGACAGAGAACAACAGTTTCTCATTCCAACTTGGTAATTTAGTATTTTGATAATCTAATGCATGACCTTTGAGCCAAATGTATGTACCATTATATAAGAATATTTCTTTGGATGAAATGTATAGAAATCATTATTTAAGACCTAATAAATGTTAAGGATCTCTACCAACATTATAGTGTAAGAACCTTATATCCTAGGTCTTTTCAACCTGTAAGTCGAAGAATCTTCCATTTATACCAGTTTCCAAGATTTTGAGAGTAAGAAAATCTCTTTAGGGTCCCAATAGTCACTAGTTAATTCTATGACCTTGGCAGAGGATGTTACGACCTCCAAACATAACCGATTATTTTGAAGCCTCAGAGACAATCCCACATCAGATAAATAACCGTGTTACCGCCAGCATGACTTCTTGATAGATCTCTATGCCCTGTTTATATGTTTGCATTAGATTCTCTCCCTTTACCAGGCTGTATCTAGAAATTCTCTTTACTCATCAAGAGAATATACCTAACAGCATGTCTAACCTGTAGAACATTATCAAAATAAATATAATATCAAAAACATTGTAGTAAATTTCAAAAAAAGTGGATATTCATTTTAATCTATCAGCTAGGGTGTATCTCCCCCAAAACTTAGAAGCTTGTCCACAGTTGTATCTGAAAGACTACAGGGAAGCTGCCCAAATCTAACAAGGACCAGACGCTAATTACAAACTGCTTTCGGCTTCAGGTTTTCACCTTAGGATCTTTCAAGGATCCAGTAAGAAATATTGTTTAAAAATGTTGTTTAAAAGCTTTCCAAGTAACGAACATAGGCTCTAATGAGTGTAGAGCTGATTTTTAGACCTCTAAGATTTAGACCTATAAGATTTGATAACTGAAAGATAGTAGCACTTGCAGGAAAGTTGTCATTTATAAATAAATATATATATACATATACATATGTGTATATATATATAATTAACATATAATGTATTATTTGTTTCAGGGGTACAGGTCTGTTATTCATCAGTCTTACACAATTCACAGCACTCACCATAGCATATACCCTCCTCATTGTCCATCAGCCAGCCACCCTATCCCTCCCACCCACTCCCCTCCAGCAATCCTCAGTTTGTTTCCTGAGATTAAGAGTCTCTTATGGTTTGTCTCCCTCCCTGGTCCCATCTTGTTTCGTTTTTCCCCTCCCTTCCTCCCATGACCCCCCCGCCCTGCCTTTCAAATTTCTCATATCAGTGAGATCATATGATGATAATTGTCTTTCTCTGATTGACTTATTTCACTTAGTGTAATAGCCTCTATTGCAAATGGCAAGATTTTGGGGGTTTTGATGGTTGCATAGTATTCCTGTGTGTGTGTGTGTGTGTGTGTGTGTGTGTGTGTGTGTTTTAAAAAGTTATTGCATAATCCAGGAGATTGATTGGCTTTTCCTAATATATATCTTGACATAATGATTGGTATTTTCCAGGCTTTTAGCAGTCGTTTTCACTGCTCACAAGACCCATTGCTTTTTTTTTGAACAGCTTTCGTCAATGAGCATTACATCATTTATATGTGTAGATAACACCCATTTGCATGGTAAACCTTCATGAATGTCTGATATGTTTAAAGGAAAAAAGTAAGTTTTTTTCAGTTGTTTATACCGGTCACTAAGGAGATAACATTTTCATTTCTAGGTTCATGTGAATCTACTTCTAATGGAAGCGCGGATGCAGGCTGAACTCCTTTATGCGCTTCGTGCCATAACTCGGCATTTGACCTGATAGCATCATCACCCAGCGAACATGTCCTACGTGTGGAAAGACCTTTTCACACAAGACACACATCAGAAGCTGTTTGTGATGTAGCATCAAAAATTTTTCAATTCTCTAGTGGCAAAGTTTAGCCGTTCTTTCTGGCGGCTGTAATGTGCAATGACGTGTTTTCTTTTTCTTGATGCTTAACATTACTAACAATTGCAAAAATAATACTGAGGAGCACTACTTTGCATTGTTTTATAGCTGGATTTTTTGGATACTGATCATAAATCATGAACCTGGTTTATATTAATGCTTAACTTCAGCGCTTTGGGGTTTGTACGTATGTGTATTCTTTTCTTTCCTTTTTTTTTTTTTTTTTTTTTTTTTTTTTTTTGAGTAAGGAAAAGCGCTTACAATCTGCTCAAGCAATTGTTTTTCAGCTAGTGGAATTCAGCACAGAATGACCTCCTCTGGCCATTCTAAACTTTAATGTTGTGTCCTAAATCTGGTGGAGGAGAAGCATGCGCTGTTGAACTAAGCTGCTCACAAGGACACGTGTCTGTGTCCCCAGGAGATTATTTGTCAGGCACTGTTTGTGGGGTTTTTTTTTTGTTTGTTTTTGGGTTTTTTTGTTTGTTTTTTGTTTTGTTTTGGTTTTGGTTTTTTTACTGCTATTGGCGATAACGTGAAATGTGATACAGCCATTGTCCATAATTTAATGTGAAATTAATCATGATGAATTCTATAGCATGCTACTGAAATGCCAAATTCAGCTGTTTTCTTTCTCTTCGGAAACAGAAGTTTCCGTTTTCCATATCAGATGTATATATTAAAAGTGAAATTATGCACAATCCTTTCTATCACGGACAGCCATCCTCGGTCACCGGGGTAATCAGTGCTCACAGAGCTGCTCACAGTTCATTCGGTCGGCACGTCCAAGCCTGTACCCACACAAGATTGACCAAAAAGTTTCTTTGCACATTTTTCTTTTCTCATAGTGTTTTCTGTATTGCAGTTAAGCAGAGGAAGGTTAATATACTTGTATTTTTTTCCTAGTAGGCCTTTAGAACTTCTTTCCTATTATTTTCCTTCTAATAGGTTGAACAGTTGAATATTCAGAGGTAAAAATTGTGTTTCTATGCATTAATGTGATTGAACAGCAACAACAAAAAAAAGTGCAATATGTTGGGAAAAAGTACTCCACGGAACTCCCCCCCCCACCATTACGTCATTGCAGAAGTGTCCTTTTGAACAGAGCCATAAAGAAATTTGTTCCAATTTCTTTATCGCACAAGGCTTTTGCCTTACTGGGGTTGAACGATATTCTTTTCCTAATGCCAAAGCACCCCCTTCCCCAGGGGAAAAAAATCTCTTTGGACAACTGGTTTTAAAAAATATCAAGTCTTAGGGGAGGAATAAGCATCCAAAAAGTCACATTTTTGCATTGGTTTATGTTGCTTGATTAGACTATCTTCACAGAGCACAACCTTATGTGTTTATAGCTTTAATTTGTCTTGTGTTAATGAACCAGTGAAGTGCCTGAAGAGATGCTTACAGCTATCCAGTAGGACACGACTGCACTGCTTAAACACTTTTTGGTTAATTAAGGGTGACTTGAATTTTAAACATGCTGATTTAAAAAAAAAAAAAAAACTGCTCCATTTGTTCATAGTAAATAATATTGTCGAAATTCTCCACTAGGGTTCCCACAAAGATTTCGTCTTAGACTTACTTCCTTACTTGTTCTGTAGGAGTTTTTGTCATGAAAGAATCGTGGATGAGTGTTTTCGTTCGGCCCATCCATTCGTCATCCATTTCTAGTACAACACATTAGGCTGCTTTCTTTTAGATTTTGTTCCAGACAAGAAAATAGAAAGGTGACTGTAAGCCTACAAACATGAGGCTGTTCTGCATTTTTCGATCCCAGGATCTCGTGTGAGATCGTCCGTGTGAGGAAAAAATCACTAATATTTTTTAAGACAGGTGGTTTATTTAAAGATACTATTCAGAGAATTCATGCCAGATCTCTTCTGTTTAAATGCATATACCATATGTTGATTTTATTGAGCATCACGTTATACAGAGATGTATTAACTGCAAGGAAAGTAGGAAAATGACAAAACATAGATGATAGCATAAATGTTCATTTGATGTCCCCAACCTTAGAACTTTTCAAGTTGGGGATGTCTTTTATTCTTGACATCTGGGTTTGGTTCTTGTTGTTTTGTTTTGTTTCCTTTTCCTACAGTCCTTTCATTTAATAGCCCTCTATATTGTGCAGGTGACCTGTGTTACAGGATTAGAAATGATCTTTATAAAAGGAAAAAGAGAAATTCTCACAGAACATCATATGAGCTTTAGACCAAAAGGGGAAACAAGGTTTAAGTAACGAAAATGGCCACTTAGTTTTTGTCTTTTATTTTTTTACCCCCAGAAATGTAAGTAGTTGGAGTTTGGGTTTTGGAAATATTTAGTGCCTTTACTAGATCTCTTTTCTAGCAAAGTTTCTTTTTAGCTCCGCATTGATCTATCTCCTCAGTAATCAGGAACCTAAGTCGACTTGGACCTATAAACAAAAACAAAACAATATATTTATGAACCTCAGTGAACCAGCCTAGAAAAATTGACTTCCGGGGGTGCTAGGGCACCCCCAGTAAGCTACAGCACGTGCAGCATTCCGGGGCGTGAATACCATTTTAAACAAGTTTGCTGGGAACCTTCTCTAACGCAAACTTGAAATTCTGATGTGGTTTTCCAGGGTGGTATTTTTTCAGAGTATTGAATTTACTATGTAGTAATTTATAGTATAGCTTTTTATATTAAAATGTGATATTTTTAAAAGAGATATCTGGTTCAATTGGTGTAACGACGTGATTCTACAGTATGCTAACCTACACCTGGGGGCTCACATTGTGCCAAACTTTAAACGTGCAAGTGTACTTGGGGGGAAAAAAAAAAGCACATGCGAATGTGAATTCTCTGACTTCCTTGCTTATCATGTGAAAATTAGTCTAACAGCCCACCTATGTATATGCTTGATCGATGTCTATTTACTTCCCAGCTTCAGTAGTAATTCGTGATTTCTCAGATCACCGTAGGAAATACCTGAATACTCTCCTGTCAGAAGGCAACTCTGTTCTGGAAACCGATCGCTTGGCGGTGGGAGTGGCCCAGCAGCCGCCCCACTTGATCCTTCAGTTTAGACCCCCTCAGATGGACTCACGATAATCAGCGGCAAAGAGGCTTTCTGAGATGAGACCACCTGTTACCTTCTTTATCTTCTTGAACCACATGTGTTATCTCAGTCCCAGGAAGAATCTTTGTCCCATTTGGGGTACTTTTACCATAAAAGATGACCAATGTGGAATCCAGGCCATGGCCTTGGCCTTTAATTATGGCTTTAAACCCAAATAATGGCAGAGCAATGCAGGGCTCTTTTAGAACAGAAAACTCAGTGGAAACTTTATATTAAAACAATATTTGAACCATAGCCCCCATTTTAATTGTGTTATAAAGTCTCCTAAAGTTCTTAAATTCTTATGAAGACTAAACAACATTATTCCAGAGCAGTTGTTTTTTTTTCTCCTCTTCCACCTTATAGAGTTTTTTAATCCAAAAATCTTGGATTTTTATGCCATGGCAAAATAAAATGATTGGCAAAAAATTAAAGATCTATACTTAAAAATAGTTCACCATGCATATATGACCATAAGATTCTTTTAAACTCTTAAAGACAACTAGTTCATCAAGGGAAAAAAAATAACAAATTTCAGTGCATGTGATAGAAATGATTTGCACTGTGATAGCAAAGTGAGGTTTTTGTTTTGTGTTGTGTTGTGTTTTGAAGACAATTCGAAATCATTCCTCTGAAAAGCAAGACCTTAAACTCTTTATCTAACAGTCTTTTTCTTCTTTTCTGCAAATAGGCGGTCTTGCATGAAGTAAAAAGTATGCAACAATAATGATACGTGAACAGTACCCAGAATTTTCTTGGTGGTGTAATTCCACAGCACCCTAAGAGACATGCGGCCCCTCAGTTCAGATCGAGTGCAAAGTTACTTAATTTGTCTCATCAGAACCCACTCGCGGTGGCCGTCATCTTTATCTGTGTTTCCTTACTGTATCCCTCTGGAGACTGAGAATCAAATTATGGAGTCTTTCCTCAGAACAGTACTGTAACATGAATGTATTCCTCTCAGTCACCAGAATTTAAATGCCTCCGTTTGTGGAGCTGATTTCCATGCTAATTTGGCTTTGTGAGCAATGTCCACTCAGGTGAGACCTAGAACAAAAGCAGCTGTGGCGAAATGGATCCTAGAGGCAGAGGCAGAGAGAGCCCTGTGAGGAAGGAAGAGGTTGTCAAAGAACACATGGAACATCACTCTGAGTGTGGCCATCCTCAGCATCCTACACCTAGTATCAAGGAACCTTCCCTTGTGGGAGTTCCGACCCGCATCGGTCCACCCTTCCCTGCCTGCTTTCTTTCCCCCAAGTGCCTCAACCTTCTCCACGCTTGCTTCCCCCCCGCCCGCCCCTGCCCTCAGCCCACCTTGGCCACCATGCAAGCCAAACATCACCAGCCACCTGCTGATAGTCACCAGCATTTACTTTTCTGAGTTACTTTTTCTCCACTCATTAAGAGCAGGACTTCGTCCCAGCTCCCCTACATGCCTCAACCATCCAGCTACATTTTGGCTAACCTTCGCCCTGGACACCCTACCAGATACCATGCAGCACCAAGTGGAGTCCTGTCCATCCCATACTCTTTTCCCCTTTCCCGACTGCCAAAATATCTTGCTGTCCTCTACCTCATCCCTAAAGAGCCTATAAATTCAGAGTATCCAAACTTTTCATGGATTCACTCTCTGTTGTTCAGTAATGCTACTTCCATATTTTAATAAATCGTAGAAGATTTTTGCCTTCTATCAAAGTAGAAGTCTTTATATTTATACATGATACAGAAATGGAACTATTTCTATCATGCAGAACTTAGCATTTAGACTTTAACATGACTGAGTTACCATCCTAAACTGGATCTATATTAGGGAATAAATACTGGTGTCAGCCCAAGTTATTTGAATGTACATTTAAAATTCTCTAGCAATCCAGATCGATCCATAACCCTTCGGTGGAATAGGAACCTTCTGGCATAGAAACAGCTGGTGTTTCAGAGACTTGTTTGATTGCTGTCGCTTGGGCCAGTTCTTAATAGAAGGACATGCGACAAAGGGTGTTCAGGTGATCCCATTGGATCACACAAGCCCATTTGATAAATAACATGGAAAAAATACCACAAAATTGGATACATCAGAGTTTGGACAAGCTTTCCTGGGTTGGACTAAGCTTCTCATCCC